GGTATCGATATCGGTTATCGGCTACATGAGTTTTAAAATATCGGCATATCGGATATCGGCCAAAATCCCAATATCATGCATCCCTATAAAAAATGTTTTGCCATTATTTTTGTATTGGTTTTTTTTTTCATATACTTTTTACATGTATTAATAGTTTTCACAGATTTTTGGAGGATCTGACTAAATTTAAGTTTTAGACCCTGAATAGCTCAGTCAGGGGTCCCCAAATTTTTTTAAGGCTGAGAGCACCTCAAGGGAACTAAGTAAGGAAGAGCTACGAATACTGACCGGTGAACTGCAAGGGGTCAGCGTCAACCTAAACTTTATACATTATAAACATATTTTTATTGTTTTTGTTTTTTTATTTCAACTTTTATTTTAGATTTTTGTCATTTTTAAATGCTCAATGAATGATTCAAAAATAAGAGGAACAGAATAAAAAAAATATTTCAAACTTAGCCCACTGGTGAGTTGTTCTATTTGTCACAGTCCATAAGACTCTTGAGGGCCCTTGGTTGCCGCAGGCACCACATTGGTGACCCCTCAGCTAGGTAGACACATAGGTCAATCTATGATGTACTAACCAAACAATGCTTTAGTTTAGCTTTGACATTAAAGTCTTTAGTCTCTGTCAAAGAATGTTATGACTGGTGATATTGCCGGTTTAGCAGTGTCTCCCTAGATGCGTGCTGCGGAGGAAGACTTTCAACTCAACTTTATTTATAGAGGCCTTTAAAACAACCACAGCTGCCTCAAAATGCTGAAAATACAAAGTAAAGTTGTATAAACACAATAGAAGTTTAAACAAATAAAACAAGTAGAATAAAATGAATTCATTGAAACTAATAAAACTACATAAAAACAAATAAAACGAACCAAAAACACAAAATCGGAGTAATTCTTTTGCTCTGTTAAAAGCCAAAGACCAACAATAGGTTTTAAAATTTGTTTTAAAAATAAAAACAGTGAAAAAATTGCCTAATGAGGGGAGGGAGCACTACAGATAAGCACTGGCTTATATGTAGCTGAGAGAAAACAGCTGGATAAGCTGATCAGGAAGGCCAGCTCTGTGATTGGATGTCCTCTGGACTCAGTGCAGGAGCCGGGGAACAAAAGGATGCTAACTAAATCAAGATCTCCCAAAATTTGTCCCACCTGCCCTCTGGAAAGAAGCTTCAAAGCATTCAATGCAGGACCTGCAGGTTCTGCAACTGCTTTCCCCCCGCAAATCAATTCATAAATCGAGACTCTGCATCACACTTGTAGACATCATATTTGCACTACATGGCAACGTTTCAAATCCTCTTAAACAGAACTCCACTCAATGTTTCTACTGCATTTGCACTATATTCTTCTAATTGCTCCACTTTATAAATAGAAATGTTAATTTCACTGCTGTAAGCTGCTCATTTACTGTTGAAAAGCTGCATCAAAATTTCAGTTGTATACACTCTGTGTATACAAAATGACAATAAATACACGTTTCTATTTCAATAGACGTTTTGAGAAATCTGTTTGTCCGCAATTAATACTGGATCCTTCTGTTCTGAGCCTAACAGATCCTCATTATGGACCCTTCACACTCAGCTCTGAACTGCCCTGTGTATGTTTTAGGTATTGATGGGAGGTACGGAGGTAAAAGCGGGTACGAAATATGCTGCAACCCCCAATGAAGCTAAAAAGGCCTGGTTCTTTGTGTCATTGTTCAACCCATTGATCAAGACAACAGTCAGAGACCGCTGGTGGATAAGCAAAGAAATTTGACCCTCTTATCCACTGTTGTAAACTTGAATATGAGATGGCTGAGCCAGGTGACACAAGCAGAGCCACCCAGCCTTCCGCCTCGCCCAGTGAGCCACTTCAGAGAGGAGAAGATACCAGCCTCTCTCAAGGAGCCTAGTTCCAGAGCCCAGGCTATGCATCAAGGTGAGGCTGTCGATTTCTACCCAGTATTGCTTCACCTCCCACACAATCTAAGGCTCCTTCCCTCCCAGCCTGGTGAGATTCCACATCCCCAAAGCCAGTTCAGACTACCATTGATCAGGTCCCTGAGGCGTCCTCTTCTTACTCCTACTCAAACTTTAGGAGTCCCTCTACAGCATGGGTTAAAGTTATCAATTGCTGCAAAAGGAAACAAAGGGGAAAAAAAGATCTGCTTTGTTATTCAAGGTATTAAACAGGAGCTTTTCTCAACAAATGAAGCCTGGCAGAGCTTGGACATTAGCTAATTAGAAGGAGAGTAGGGCAAGGCTTTCCAAAGCAGAAATTCTTAAGTTTGAGGTCTGTTTGACAGAACATAATAAAATTGGGTATAAATGGGGAAAAATGATAGTGGTGGTCAAATGGGGGAAAAACGTAAAAAAAATACGCTTGACCTCTTAGGAGCCAAAACATGCGCTACTGTGCCCTTCACAGTGGCAATGACACACTATATGTAATGGGCGTAGGTTTGCATAGGGACATCCCTACCAAAATTTTTGATTGACCTTCTTGTCCCTATCAATAATTGGATGTGAACAACATGTTTATAATTTACAATCCAGCGTTGTTGCAGCAGTGGCTTCTTTTCCTCTTGCAGCTCCTCTGCCTCTAAGCTGCAGCTGCCTGGTCTTTCCTCAGCCTTTCACGTAGCAGTGCATGGAACTGTGCTGCGCTGTGTAACTCTGATTTTTCTGCCCTAAGTTTTGCCTTAACTCTTTCTGATTGCTTGTTTTCTAGTCTGTATGTGTGTGTGTGCATGCTTGGAGAGAGGTTAGATTTGTGGAACTTGAGAAATGAAAGTAACCAATGTTAGGATTTCTTTTATAAAACTTAATATTCAGAGTCAGACAGGAGTTCTGAAAACTGCTGTTAAAATGAACAAAGACTGTGAGCTATAAACATTTCAGATTCCCTTTTTATCAATATTACTTTGCTATTACTGTTTTAATTTCTGACGGCAGTTCAGGTATAAATAACAGCTGTTATTTCTTTAGTAGAACACAAAAACACAGAAGGATGTTAAAGAGCTGCTATTTTTGTTTTTCCACACAAAAAAGTGCTATTTAATTATTAAATGCATTATTTTGCATGATACAGAAAAAGCATATTAGATTAAAAAAATAAGAGTGAGTTTTACCTCTGTTTACCTCTGAACAATTATATATCTTCAAAAGAAAACACTGGATAAATCCAAATATATACATACATATTTAGGCTATATTTGGTTAAATAGGGACGTATTTACCTTCAGTCTTAGTTAAATGCAAACCTTTTCAAAGTGGAAAACAGTCTTAATTCCTCATTCATCAGAGTCAGTGATGCTTTAAACATTTATAAACAGCATCTAGTGTGTGAAGTGCTTATAAGATTTGTATTAATGTAGCAAGAAATGTTGCTGTTCTCTTTAAACAAAATGTGTCCTGATGCTCACAGTTAGCATAAAAAGAGCATGCATATTTTGCATAGGACTAATAACATCAAAACAATGAAAATGAAGACCAATAGTATCCCTACCAAAGCTGAAATCAAACCTACGCACTTGCTATATGTGCCCTTTTTTTTTTTACGCCATGTCCCTTCAAAAGGGATGTGTATGCCACTGATTGCATATGCTGTACCTGTCACAAGTTGAATAAAATTTAATAAAGAAACAATATATATAGGCTGTCATTTTTATGACAAAATTATAAACTATCTTAATAGCAAATACCTTAAAAAAATTTTATGAACATTTTAAGAGGAAATTTTGTCTTAAATCAACGCCTTTTTGTATTTCAGTAGTGTAGTTTGTCCATTCTCCGCTTTTATTGTATATAACATTTTATTTAAAAGAACCTTAACCTTACCCTATGGATGAAAATTGTACTAGATATAAGAAAAAGATAAGCAGGAACGAATGATTTGAACTTGCATTCACTTGGACAGATATGAAAATCATCCACCGTCTTTTGTACTACTTGCAGTTTATGGAGAGTTTTCTGGCGAGTGTCAGGATTTGGTTCTGGATTGTTGACCCAAAAGCAAAGAGAAGACTAAAGAGCAGATTGGGAACAGGAGAACACAAGAGGGCAGCAGAGGGGAACAAATAAAAAACCTAGAAAGCTGAAAATTACTAGAAAAAACAACAAAATAAGAATTAAACCACTAAGAATATAAAACATGGAGCAAAGTAAAACTGAAAACTCAAAAGAAAACCATCACAGAAACAGAAACCTAACAGAGGGAAGGGAGTTAAATTTGTATTT